TATTTGAATTGACAGGGATGGCAAAGGCATCTATGAGGGGTGAAGAAACCACTCCATGGATCAACCATGGTTCAGTAAAACAAGAAGAACCCAATATGAATGAGCCCAGAAGAGTAGATCCGATGCCTGAAAGCAAAGGTTCTGAAACAAATAACCCCTTAATGGGAAATGTAAAAAAACATCTGTGAATATATTAAAATGTATCATAACCTACTGATCCACCAAGATGGACAGGAAATGGGAGCATGTCTGATGAACAGTGAAGAGTACGAGCACACTGAGGTGGAGTGAGCACTTATCCCGTGTTCAAATGCCAGTTTGGAAGTTAGCTAAGGAATGCCAGAAATAGTATAAATACAGCCCAGTCACCATCACAATTCCCCAAGGAGAGAAGAGGTTCACAAACTAGGATAATGGAATCAAAGAAGGAATCCTTGGATCTGCAAGGACCTCTGGAGGAGGTACATGTGTAGGCCCCAAAGCAATGAGGAATTTCATAGAAGCTAGAGTTTCAAAAGTGAAAAAACCCTCACAGGATGAGAAGCACAAATCCTGGTGACCAGATACTCCATAGCTCGCAGGCAAATAGAAGACAGAGCTTGGTTGAGACAAGAGATGAAGAAAGTGGCCAGAAGTACCAAATATTAGGTGGGTATGGGAAAGGAGTTGAATATCTTGACAGGTCACTCCAACCAAGTCACCTCCTGCAAAAAAGAAGGTAGATGTGAGAAGAGGATACCATCCAAGAACAGGCCAACAGAAGTCAATAATCCAAGAAAAGGAATGAGAGCTCCAGCCCATGAAGATAGTGAGCAAAGGCCCTCATGATATAAATGAGGATGATGCTATGTAGAAAAAAAAGCAAGGAACAGAGAGACGTGAATCTGATGGATGGAACATAGAAAACATATGGAGAATGGAGAATAAGGATGTGTAGAATGGTGTCTGACACCAATGAAGACAATGTACACAAGGAGGAGGTAGTTGTACAGTTAACAGCAACACAACTCAATCCAACAAGTCCCAATGGTAGGTAAACAAAGTGAAGAGGAATGGAGCAGAAGTGGAACAAGCTAAGCTGGCAGAGAGAAGAAAATGAACTTCTACAGAAAGCCCCACATGAAACACAATGAAGTGCCTCACACAAAAGATGGAGGGAGGAGAGGAAATATAAGAAGGTGGTGAGAAAAAGATATCACCAGAACAAGGAACCAGAGAGCAAAATAGAAGGCAAGAGACTTGATCCCCAAGTAGGCCAAACGTATACTAGAAAAGGAAGGAAGAATGCCTACAAGTCAGGATAAAAGTCACGAATGTGAGGTGGATGATGCATTTGGGTGTGAGAAAGAAGCTGCTGGATAAAGGAAACAGCATAAACCCTAATAACAAACATATAGGAAAAGGTAAACCCCAAAATTTGGGTTCATGGAGTGAAGAACAAGATAATGTAAAGTAAATACCCGAGAATAAAATCCAGAAAAAAATCACAGGAGTAAGTAGAAGTCACTGTCATTTGAGATTTCACTTAAAGAATTAAAGCTTCTGAAACAAATGATAAAAGAGAATGTCTAATTTATTTCAGTAAGTTGCATCATTTCTTAAGTAGATTTTAATGAGAAGAGACCAAAGTCAGTGCTTTAGTAATTTAAAAAATTTTAACTTATTTATACATAATATAAATAGCCAGATAAATTTCAGTACTTTGAGGTCATTCAATTTTATCATCTGAATCATTATTTTAAATACATATTTGAAAGTTACACAAATCATTTTTTTGGCAAACAGCATAGAAAATACAAGGTTTATGAAAGCAGGTCTGCTAAATTTCTTTTTATTATGAATTTTGTAACATTCTTCTTTCATTGGCAGTTTCTTTTAAATTACCTGGTGAAAATAATTCAACATTCAGTCCATGTGACAAGAATAAATTACTTTATTTCCTTTGTTTAACATTTCTATGAGCTTGAACATTTGTAAACTGTTGTAACTTGTAGGCCTTCATTACAAGTGACATTCAAACCTCTCAAACAATATTAGGACTCATAAAAAATCTAATTTCATGTACAAAGTAACTAAATAGGTGCAAGTGCAAACACAGATACAAAACACACTGAATGATTCAACTTTCTATTTTGAAATACCTTTTACACACTTCATGGGAAAGTGTGTACATTTGAAAGCTAAGCTCTTGAAATATCAGATTTAAATCTGTTTAAGAATTTGTGTTAATCAACAAAAACAAATAAATTGATTTAATAAGAATGATATATAATAGTATTAGGATTAAAATGTTAAATTAGGGCTTGGTGATGTATTACAAATGTTTGATTACGCTTAGCAAGTGTAAGCTACTCGAGCTATAACTTAGCTTATTGGAATTATAAAACAGGCTAAATAAATCTCTCATAAAGATTAGTTACTTGTCACTATTTATTTTAAAGTTTAATTTAATTATTTTTGTGAAAAGACAAGGTAGTAATAAAATAGTGTAATATGTTCACCTTTAACATTAGACATAACTGTTGTCAACAGACTGCTTGTATTTGGTGATAATTATTTATTTCCAGATTACAATGCTTAAGATGCATAGATGTTAAGTGCTCACTGTTTGTAATGTGCTATAGGTGCAAGAAGTGAGTTTTATTTGGGAACTTGGGACTGGCATGCACTTTTAAGGAAACTAGTAGTGAAGATGTAGAATTTGCAGGTCTAAAGAAATATTCCAGGCTATCCTAAATAGAGTAGAAAAGGGTAAACTGTGGGAACTGGCAGAAAATTTCAAAAGGAACTTAAACTTTTGCATGCAAAAGATATAGTAGATAATAATGGCTTTCAGTAAGTTGAAAATAGTACTAATAGTGCTGGAAATAGGAAATTAATTGTAATGAGCAGCTTCTATTAAGTAACAGATTTCAGTCTTTACTTTGTGTAGATGAGGAAGTAAGGGAGAGAAGGATAATAAAAAATGACAGGTGTGAAAAGAAAAATGTAGAGAGGTCATTGTTATAGGTGATTATTTAGTATGGCAAAGGATAGGATAGTCCGTGGGGTAAAAAGAGAGAAGAATTAGATTATGCTATCCAGGGGCAGGAATTAAGAATATAACTGACAGAGCAAATGATACAGTAAAGGAGCTAATGATGTGGGAAAGGTAAGATCACAGGAGCTAATTGTTAAGTACAAGGTATTAATAATGACATTCTAACAAATGGGTCATAATAACTTAATTCTGTCAGGAATGCTGCCAAGATTTAACTGTGGAGATTAAATTATAAGTAGGTCATTAGAGGTGAATGTTAGGCTTAGGTTAACATGTAAGGACGAGCAAGTTGGGTGGTTGGATTTGTGGGATATTCAATGGGTAAAGGAAGCTTTAAATTAGGTGGCAAGGATCAGAATAATGAAGAAAAAATATGATATAGATAAAAATATGGTGTAGGAACAAAATACATAAGTAGATTTAATGGTAGGCTTAACTGTTATTATTGTAATACTAGAAGTAGAAGAAATAAAATGGATGATTTTAGAGCATAAGTTAGAAAGGAAGATTCTGATGTAGTGGATGTAACTGAAACCTGGTTAAATGTACAAAATTTTGATGACAGGAATTTCTTTGAAATACACGGTTAGAGGTTATTTAATAGGTATAGAATGCTAAAAGGATAAAGGGGCAGTGGCTTTATATTTAAAATCATATGTTTGTTACCATCACACACACTAAATGTTTGATGTTGTTACCACTGTACTACTAATCATAATTAAACTTCAATTCCCATCGAATGAACTTGGGCTTTTGCTTGCAGCCACCCTTTTCCCCTATAAGAAACATGTCTATCTTAAATAGCTTAAATTTCATTTTTAAAAATTTCTCACATTTGATTATTACCTCCAATTAATTCATATGTATTAAAACATTAAATTTCAAATGATTTAATCTTCAATTGCATATTGTAATGTACAGGTAACAAGTTATCTTTGTTGCTTAATACACATACAAAGGCTTCAATTCTGTAATTGAATGCTGTTACTTCCAAGAAACAGTTTAAATATACCATGGAATTATTTTTGTAGGTTCCTCAATTGAACGATGTCATTTCTAAGTAATGTACCTTCGTAACTTATCAAAATATATTTCATACAAACATTTTTTTGTCAAACACAGACCTATTTAATTTTAAGTAAAAAATTCCAAGAAAGAATTTGTTCAACTGTATTTTCATAATGTGTGCAATTGAGAGTTAAAATCTCATTAATTTACTGAAGTTGGTAGAAAATTATAGTAAGGCCTATTAATTTTATATAACTTAAATAAGCCATACTGTTGTTGACTTAGTAATAATAATGGTAGTACTACCATCACATTAATTCATGTTAAATCTGTGTCTGCAACTTACAAGTTACAGCGTTAGTTACTGTTAATGTGCTAACAAAACGTTAATAATAATATAGAAGTACTAAAAAATAATAATAATACATTATATTTATAGTACTATTAGTATTAATAATGCCAAGCTGTGGTAGAACATTGCTATACTAATTATAAAGTTAATAGTACAGGCTATAAAATTACTAAAACTTTCCATTAACAAAAAATATATTCACAACTGAGTCAATGAGGGTTAAGACTGAAGTTAGGCCTCATAATCTCATTTTTCTTAAAACTAAAAGTTAGCGAATTTCTTACTTCGACTCGGATAACATTTATTTCCTTCAACCAAGAGAAAATACAATACCAATGGTAATGTTTTAGTTCAACTTAATCATTAAAGATAATTATATTGATAATATTAATCTAAATTTATAACAGAAGTATACACAAGTCATTGCTAGAAATTACAATAAGCCTAACTTAGGCCTACTTACTCTATCAAAGACTAAGTTCAACCTGAAATCAATTATAACTTATTCAGGGTATTTTGTATAACTACTTGTATACTTATATTCATAACCAAAATAACAGAAATGCCGTGGCATGAGGCCAAACTGGCCTTATAACTTACACGAAAAAAGCCTGCGTCCGTCATTTTGATTAACGAACAGAATTGGTTTACTGAATTAGAAAATCTACCAAAAACACATCCTTCTTCTCACTTTTACTAGTATGAGTCCTACTATAGCCTAAAAATACAATGATCCCCACGCGCATGACTGTTTCGACAGCAAAACCAACAATTAGCAATTTGAAAATACGTCACTAAAGCATATATATATATATATAATTAATTTTTTTTAAATCACACATTAACTTTCATTAATCCTAGAAAACCCTTCTAACTTTATTTCAGTGTGAAACCAAACATATATTATCCTCAGTATTTATGAACATCTACGAATTGTAGCATTTTCAAAGTATCGTAAGTAAATTTTCAAACACCTAAACGATATTGGGCAAATTTGTTTTATCAATGTTACAGTTGAAATACCGACAATCTTACCTTTCCATAATCAGGTTAGAATATATCGGTTGTAAGGTATATTCAGATGGTTTTCTATATTTTCATCCAAGCGTTCAGTAGGTAGTAATGCCATTCTTGTTAACCGCATATCAAAAGTTCGTAAACGTTGCCAATCGTTTTACTTGGGTAAGGGTTAAATTGGACAAAAGCCACCCCATAGAAGATTGTATCAGTATGGTCTGGCCCAGTGGGCGAAACTAGCATACCTCAAGGAGTGAAACAAATTCTTTAACAAACTAGTATGAATTGGCAGATTTCTACCTTGAATATGTTATTTATTAAAGTTGGTGGATTATAAGATTCTGCATTTAGACCCTTTGTGTGACTTGAAAATTTAGTAAGATACAATTGGTCTTTTCTTTATCTTGTGTAGATGTATATAATTTTTCTTACTTCCATGTTATGAAGACATCTGGGAAACTTCTCCCGCCCCAGCAGTTAGTTTGAGTACAAACAATTAGAAGCTGGCCAGTTGGTAAATAACATTGTTATTGTAAATAAAGACTTTGTTTATTTGTTCAGATATGTTTGCTTATTTTCCTTTGTTGATAAAGTTTGATTTACTCCCTACATAAAATTTTCCAAATCTTTGATTTGCTAATATACTTGGCTACTTGTCAAATATCAGTGTATCTGAATACCACACACTAGTTGTTAAAAATAACGATTTGTTATTATAGAGTTTATTTTGAGCATGCTTCTTTTTCTGTGACGTTGATCATGAAAGGAAACTTTTAGAGATTATACAGCATTTACAGGGAGAGGAGGAAGCTACAGTTGAAATAATAACTCTTTCCTAGAATGTGACAAGAACTAAGAGAACTACTCTCTTCGATCCAGAGCTTTCCCCAGCAATTGTAAAAGCTATGTTTACATTCTAGACACATCCTCGGGACCATGATGTTGATGGTTGCCTCAGTAAGCAATCCTGTGCATGCCTGTGGGTTGCTTCCCGTTGTCTGGAGCATAGGGTGGCAGAAAAGGATCCAGATGGCATCAAACAGCCTGTATTCAGAAACCTACTGGCATTTTCTAGATGGGACTCCACGTTACTTGTTAACAAGCCCAGACATTGATTGCAAGGCTCTGGTTTGAATAATCTAGTATTGAAGGTAATTACAAGATGCATACATTGTATTAAGTCTGGCATGATTGTCGCAACACTTTAAGGTGGGTCAGATGATGCTTTGTTATAATCCAGCTGGATTAAAATTTACTCAAGGGCCTTCCAGGCTATCAAAGCATACTGATAATGCTCCAAAACTGCTTTAAACAGCTGATAACACTGTGAGATGTAATGATGAAGTGTTGTAAGACATATTGCATAATTAGAATGGTTACGATAGCATGTGCTAACACAAACATTGATTCATCCCACTATGGACATCACATTCATCAGGTTGCGTGAATCTATTAACTAAAGGAGAAGATGTGGGCTTCTCACAAATGTCGACAGTGGTAAATAAGCAAGTAGCAGCTTCCTTTTAGCACCAGCATTTAACCAGTGTTCAAGGGGACATTAAGAGAAGATTTGAACAATTCTTCAAGCATACCAAGGTATTTATTGCTTGAATTAAGGGGACTCATGTATAGGCAGTGCAAAATCTGATGCTGAATCTAGAAGGATTCAGGTTTAACGCCTTAGAACACCCAGAAAAGTGTAACTTGGTGACTGAAAACAGTTATCAGTTATTTCTGCCACAGACTTGACCTTGTGGAGAACAAATTAATCCATAGGGCTGAGTTCAAAGATCAAGGATGGGAATTTTACAAAAGTTTGGAGACATATGTTGAAAATATAAGAACATTTCATGGGAAACTATTCCTGATATTTCTTCATTGCACCATGGTAAAATACTTATCAAAAGTTTATAGAGGGGCTGCGAAGTGAATCCAACCAGCAAAAATAGGTATGAGGAATATTTCATCTTTCACATGGTGACGTGGTTTGAAGTGGTCATACCAAACAATACATTGTAGTAGGGGAAGCAATAAGTATCACTGGAAACAACATCTGAGGACTCAGCCTTGAGAAGCCTCCAAGGTCCATGATAGCCCCAAAGGCCCAGAAAAAGCAATGAAGGCCAGCTATATGAGTTCCTATGCAAAACAACCACCATGGTAGCCTTGGGACAACAATATTTTCCTATTGTATTTGCCATGCCCATACTACAGATGCAGTTAGAATCTGAATCCCAATAGCACCAAGAGTACTGGGAAGGAGTCTGTACCTCAACTGTCGCATGAATATCCATAACCTATTGCGAGACATGCCATTGGATATCAGAACCATTCATGCTAGCACCACAGCAGGTGCAATACCATTATTCTGAGCATTGGCTACAGCTATTCAAACTAATTTGATTTAAACTAATGGTGCTTGAGTTTCATCAGATCACCAACTTAGGTGAGTACAGCTGTCAGCTTATATAAAATGTCACAATGTCTGGTACATATAACAATGGCGTGGACTTTATGTAAAATGTGTCAGTAACAATACATGGGTACAAAATAGTTTTTAATGGAAACTGGATGAAGCAGAACTTTACTTGGCTTTGCCAGCTGTTATGAAAGCAATCACTCCAGTCAGTTAGCATATACAGTCTTGTTCAAAATTTTGCACACTGTTCTATATGGATGTTATTGTTTACATGCATGGAGTAGTTATTCAGTAAATGCCCAAGTAGTAACAGAGATGGTAGCATGATCAGACAAACATGTACGAGTTGTTATTCTGGTCTGTATAAGTTGTTTTAAGCATTTGTTCGTCAAAACACACAGACTCACCTGTTTTGTATAAAAGGGTGTGCTTTTGGTATAAACGTTTTCGAAACAAATCAATGTTTTGTTCAGACAATTTCACTGTATTTGGTGTACAGTCATGCCTTATCAGGTGCCAGAAGTTATAGGGTGTCAAATGGTTCGACTGTCCAGAAATGGTATGAAGCAAACAAACATTGTCAGAACAATAGGTACCTACATTGTACTATATCCAGAATCCTGAAACGTTGTTCCAGGAAAGTCTACTGGTAGACACCGAAAAACTACTGCCCGAAATGATCGTGTTTTAATCAGGTTAATACATCTAGGTTGAAAGAAGTCTACGACAGGACTGGCATGAACACATTCATTTCAGGGTATCCAGAAGAACAGTGAATAGGAAACTGACCAAACAAGGTTATTTTGCAAAAAGTTTTATCTGCAGACTTATATTAACCAGAATTCACCACCATCACAGTGTTAGTTGGGCAAGACAATATGCCAGCGTACAGTTAGGACACTGATGAGTCCTGTTTTCGGCTTGTTAGAACTGAAAGTAGGATTCGTGTTCGTCGTTTAGCTGGAGAACAGACGAAGGAAGACTGTCTTTCCCACAGGGAATGCACAGGAGGTGGTGCATTACATGTTTGGGCAGCTATTCAACATGGTGGAGAACTGCTCTTCATATCCTCCGGGGAAACGTCAATGGCGCCTCTTACGCGCATCACGTGAAAATGGTATTTCTGCCATATGCTGGGACAGGGTTTGGCAATAACTTTGTGTTCCAGGAGAACAATGCCACTGCCCACAGTGCACGTATTGCATAGGATTATCTCGACCAGAAAGACGTTACAAGATTACCATGGTCTCCAGATTGGAATCCCATTGAGAACTTTTGGGTGGAACTGAGCTGGATAATTGCTAACCCCGACCCTAAACCAGGTACTGTAGCTGAGTTGTAGCACCTTCTAGTGACAAGTTGGGAGGAATTCCCGGTGGCTTACATCAATAACCACACTGACAGCAGGCCACGTACAAGGAAGCCCAACCTAGTACTGAAAGTTTAATACAAACTGATATAAGGTTGAAGATGCTATTTATAATAATTTGATGTTATACTTTGTCATATGTTATTTTAATATTTTGCTATGATTAGTGAATGTTCAATTACACATCTTTCTATAGGTGTCTGATAAAATTGTTTGTTGTTCTAAAATATCGTTCATAATGTCCATAGAACCTGTCTTGTTATACAAATTACATATGTAGATGTTTAATATAATATGCATTTCTCAGTTTGACAGTGCTAAGTGTATTTGTATTCTACTTGAGTAATAAAGATTTTATTTGTTACAAAATATGCAAACATTTTGTACAAGACTGTACTTCTTTTTTTTTTTTATTTCAATATTCTGTGGTAATACATGTCAATGTCTTTTCTATGTCATGCAAAGATGAATATCTAGAGGTATTGGAAGGCAAAACACTAGATCTAACTTCTGGTTATTGGTGTGAGTGAGCCGAACTGGACAATTAATGTATACCCAATAACGTTTTCAGCACACAGGAAGGAATATATGAATTCTGTATCAATCTGTATAACGTGCATACCACTTTTAAGAGGCTGGTGAGCTTTAAACCGAGAAGACTGCAATTGGAGAGATGTTCTATTTATATGGATGACATGTGTATCTTTGTTAACACGTTTCAAGCCAAGCTGAAACTTAAGAATATCATTCTAGTGTATCAAAAATTCAGGCCTGAAATTCAATCTTGGAAAGTGCGTGCTTATATTTGTGGAAGTGGTGTTTCTTGGTCAAACAGTCAGTATATATGGTATGTTTACTGATCCTGCAAAGATTGCAATGATCCAAGAATGGTTTCCACCTTCTAATAAATGAGAAATCCATAGGTTTCTAGAC